ATAATTTTGAATAATAGAAATTAGAGGTAATGTTGATATGGTGAACTACCATCATTGCAAGCATTGAAATAAGTTTTCTTTTTATTTGCTGCCATTTTATTTTGTCCGCACACATTCAGTTCCAATAATCTCTGCCTATTTTCTGTGCATTCAAAATGATGTTCAAAAGAAATTATTATTATCCACTGACAAAATGTTTTACTTTTTACTTTTTAATTAACATTACAGCTTTATTCTTTGTAAATTTGATAAGTTTAACTTGTTGTACTTGTTATCATCTAACTTAGTACAGCAACATTTGTGTGCATCTTAACCTGACCTAACTGCAGTCCAGAAATTTGAACCACTAAAAACATTATTTTATTTACATTTTACAATAACAACAAATTTGTATAACATTTAGTAAATAATGGTTTATTTGCTAAATAAAATTATTAAAGGGATAAAATAAGCTTTTATTAATAATTATTAATGATCCAATAAAATAATGCTTCATATCAACATCATGTGCACTTATGGTGATGCAGCTTAACCTAGTTTTGTACTGAGAATTCTCAGTAGGAGCTGTCATGACATGCAACAATGACAAAAGGCATGGCAAGACAATGACGTGCTTGACTCGGGCCTATTTTCCACTCTGAAGAATAAGGAAAAGATTTTTTTTGCAGTCAAACTACCAGCATTTACGCATTCTTTTGTTCAGCACAGTCCCCAACAGTATTACCAGCAAAGCACCCCCACAAATCATCACACCTCCTCCTCGATGCTTCACTGTGGGAACCATGTATGTAGACCATCCATTCACCTTTTCTGCATCCCACAAAGACATGGCGGGTGGAACTAAAGATCTCAAATTTGGACTGATCAGACCAAAGTGCACATTTCCACTGGTCTAATGTCCATTTCTTGAGTGTTTTGGTTCACATAAATATCTTTTGCTTGTTGCTTTTCCTTAGTAGTGGTTTCCTAGCAGCTGACCATAAAGGCCTGATTCACACAGTCTCCTCTGATCAGTTGATATAGAGATGTGTCTGCTACTAGAACTCTGTGTGGCATTTATCTGTGCACTGCTAACTTGTGATATCTGACGCTGGTGTCTCTGATGAATTTATCCTCAGCAGCAGAGGTGATTCCTGGTGTTCCTTTCCTCGGGTGGTCCTCATTGTGAGCCAGTTTCGTCATAGTGCTGAATGAATCTTAGGACTGCACTTGGGGACACATTCAAAGTTTTAGCAATTTTCTGGACTGACTGACCTTCAGTTCTTAAAGTAATGATGGACTGTTGTTTCTCGTTACTTAGCTGATTGGTTCTTACCATAATATGAATTCTAACAGTTGTCAAATAGGGCTGTCAGCTGTGTACCAACCTGACTTCTGCAAAACACAATTGATGGTCCCAAACCCATTAAGAAGACAAGAAATTCCACAAATGAACTCTGACAAGGCTGAGCTGTAAAGTTGAAACCATTTCAGGTGACTACATCATAAAGCTCATTGGGAGAAAGCCAAGGGTTTGCAGCAATGCCAAAAAAGCAAAGGGTATCTACTTTGAGGAATCTAAAATATAAAACATATTTATATTTATTTATCATTTTTTTCTTTAGTATAATTCATATAATTGATGTCATCAGTATGTATCTACAGTGTAGAAAGCAGTGAAAATAAAGAAAAAACATTATATGAGAACGTGTGTCCAAACCTTACCACTCGATGGCAGTGTAACCTTGTTTTAGGACAGAAAACCTTCATGTTTACAGTGTCACGTGGGGCATTGTAGTTGCTTGGAAATGCTGTTGTTGTTGTTTTTTTCTTTTAGAATTCACAAATTAACATGACCTAAAAAAGTAATATGTAACAATGTAACAAAAGTATTAGACTTGAAAGTTTTTTAAGGAAAATGACCAAGTATGAGGTACATCTGTATGTATTTGAGTAGGCTAAGCATTTAAGCCTGTAGGAGTAATTTTAACAAATAGAATGACAGTCATGTAGAAAAGTTTTACTATTGACATTCATACATATTCTGATTTTAATAGCAGAAAATGAATTATGAACAAACCATGAACAAATAAGATTTATTACCATACCATAACAGCTTTATTTATAAAGCACTTTAACATAAAACCAGGGTTCACAAACTGCTGTAGATATACAAATAGCATAAATACAATAAAAGAAAAATAAGATAAAATACAATAAATAACTAATTGAATAAAATGAAATAAAACATGTTAAAACAAATTGAGCCACCCCCTTAAAGATAGCCAAAGGCTTCAGCAAATTAATATGTTTTAAGAAGATTTTTAAAGTCAGAAAGATAAGTTTTCACAAATTACCTGAGGGGAGTCAACACCAACAGTCTGTAGAGCATGAAGGACCATGTCAATAGTTTTAAATAAGGCGTGAGGCTTACAGGAATTAGCCTGCATAATAGCAGCAAAATGTTTTCTCTTAACAGTTTTCTGATATGAATTCCAGTAATACTGTAATATTTGGTATGAAAGCTGAAGTTTATCCTTCTTCCATTTACGTTCAGCTCTCCTATACTTTCTTCTGACAGCACGGGTGGCTTCATTCAGACCTGAACCCTTCAGCTTAAAGGGGGCCACCGACTGAGTAAAACCATGAGCTGAGCTCTTCTGGATCATTACATATAGAATCAGGAAGGCTGCTGTTCTGATTAAAAATAACAGAGAACTGATCAGCAGTGGATGGGTTAAAAATACCACCGCTCTGAGCAACAGCAGGAGGATTAACTTTAGTACAAGGAAGG